GTCTCGGACTGGCAATTCAGCTTGAAAAATCGCTGGGGTTCTAAAAAAAATGCTTTGTCCTTACAGGGTGTTTTTCATCCTCGGGCTGTCGAGTTAGCAGCGATGGAAAGCCAGCCAAGTTTCAGCCGCCTCCAAAGCCCGTCATTATTGACAAGCAGAAGCAGAGAGAGGAGAGGAGGTGGGTGTCGCGGTGCGGGGTTCACCTCTGCGGCCGGGCTGGTCGTCGGGGATTTAAAGCTCCGAGGTGTTATTGCACAAAAGATACTTGCAGAGTTCTACCCAAGATCATTCATGTTGGAAATGTGCTTAAAGAAAAAAAGCACCTTAAATTGTGCTAGAGCTCCTGAAAACAGTGAAAAAAGAGGGGGGGGGGAGAAGTATAGCAGTGAGTATTTTTGCAAATTTCTAGTTGAGAGGTGAGGTTTTCTTCTGTTAAAGGCTCTTCAGAATGCCCCAGGGTGGCAGGGACACGGGTCCTTGTTCTGCCTCTGACTTAAACCTTGAGATTAACTGTACTCACACACATTTCTGTTTCTGAACTGGAGCTGCAAAATGCTTTTGTTTTACACAAGTTTGGATTTTCTTACAGGTTCCTGAGCCCTGAATTTATTCCTCCCAGAGGGAGAACAGATCCTCTTAAATTTTTTATAGAAAGAAAGGATATGATACAGAGACGGAAAGTCTTCAACATCCCAGAGTTCTATGTTGGTCAGTAGCAGTGCTATAACTTGCATAATTTCAATGTTTTTTTGCAGGGTGAGATGGTAAAAGGTGTGATTTCATGTTGTAGATTATCATAGAGTATCAGAGTTTCAGGTATGTTAGATCAAACTGTGTGTGTTTCCATACCTACTACTTCGTAGTTTAATTTCATATTTACACCCCGTTCCCATTAAAAGTATAACACTAATGCATTTTTTGGTGTGTTTTTAAAATCCTGGCACTGCAGTACTAGGTTTACCATTAAAGCTCAAGAAAGGAAAATAACATTAGATTATTTGTATTCATTTGGGATAATGAAGAGTAAAAGATAAAGGTGAAGAAGCTTCACAGTCAACCTGCAGAATCACTTCAACGTGATGTTACAAGGGCTTGTAGTGAGAGGACAGGGGGTAATGGGTTAAAACTGGAAGAGGGGAGATTTAGGTGAGACGTTAGGAAGAAATTCTTTCCTGTGAGGGTGGTGAGACAGTAGAACAGGTTGCCCAGGGAAGCTGTGGCTGCCCCATCCCTAGGATTCAAGGCCAGGTTGGATGTGGCTTTGAGCAATTGTCTAATGGGAGGTGTCCCTGCCCATGCAGGGGGGTTGAAACTGGATGATCTTTAAGATCTCTCTTCCAACCCAAACCATTCTATGATTCTGATAATTCAGGGCATGTTCGAAGTTTATTCTGTTTTGGCTGCTTTCATGGAAAACATTTTCAGAACGTACCTAAATATATGCACTTTGTGACCCTTTCCCCACATTTTGGTGTGTGTTTACTTGAAGAGTCTGTTCCTTTTAATGATGTCCATGTGTTTGGCAGGCAGCATACTTGCTGTTACCACTGCAGATCCTTATGCCAACGACAAAACCAACCGGTTTGTAGGAATCTGCATTCAAAGAGGAGGGAAAGGACTTGGTGCAACCTTTGTCCTTCGGAACGTTATCGAAGACCAAGGTGAGTTTTTCACTGTGGTGATTGGGCTGGAAATGGCAGGCAAAAATGTTGTACTTGAAGGGATACCTGGTGTAGAATTGTAGTCTGCAGAGAGGATGACAATAGATTAAAGTGAAATTGCAAGTCTACCTACTTAGGGGTGTGAGGGAGGCACCCCAAAACACACAGGAGCTGATTGGGAATGAGTATTTAGGCCAAGCAATACTACTGGCTGAGCCCTGTCAAAAATAATACCACAGATTCAGAGATCAGTCTGGAGTGTTAAGGCACCACACCACAAGTAGGTAAGAATTCCTAAGCTTTTTTGACTAGTCCTAACAGATAATCTGAACCTGTATAATAATAATAACAGTCCCACATGTGCACACTCGCTCAGACAAAAGGGAAAGCCTCCCCCTCAGGTACCCAGGATCACTTGCCCAACAGGGACAAGGCTCACTCAAAGATACATCTAGAAGAAATGCATCACTCACCAGAGAGGAGGTCACTCGATCTTGAGAAGTTCCTTGAGGTGGTGTCCCAACCTAAGGGGAAGGCCTGTGTGCGTGTGTGTGTTGGGGCCTGTAACACCAGAAATATGTCTCAAGGCCACCCAGTCTGACCTAGCAAATGTGGAACCATCAGAGGTTCATTTGTCATCTCCAGAGAGCTTAACAAGTAATGTGACAGCCCCAGAATGGGGAAGTGGGCCAGGAATGCTCTGCCCCGATGGGGTATTGCAGGTTTAAAGCTGCATGAGCAGAGATGCTTATGTGTGTTTGAAGGCCTGGAGCTGTTTAGTCATGTCCCTCCAGGTAGTGGTTTTTAGTTCTGTATCCTGAGACCAAATGTGATTCACTGTGATTGTGCTTATCCTTGAGCCTGGGCAGCCCTCTGCTGGCCTTGTAAATACCAGCTCGGGGGGAGGGGAGTGTGTTTGCATGAACTGTTTAATAAGCAACAGATCAGCAGAGTTTTATAACACACACATATTCTCATTTATGGCAAAATGAAGGGAGATGCAAACATTGGGGTTCTGAGAGAAAATATGAAAGGTATGGGGGTCTTTTTATGTACACTACACACAGATATATATGGTGGAATAATGCAATACCAGGTTGGAAGACATCTCAAGGATCATCTAGTCCAGCCTTTCCTGAGTAAAGCAGAGTCTAGACAAGATGGCTGAGCACTGTGTCCAGAATCCACCACTTCCCTGGGAAGTTATTACAATGGCTGATTGTTCTCATTGTGAAAAGTTGTCCTTTTGTGTCCAATCAGCACCTCACCAGGAGTAACTTTTACCCAATACAAGTGTCTTTTCAATGTGACTCCTTGAAAAAAAGGGAGTCTCCATCTTTGCAGTCACCATTCAAGTACTGGATCATGGAGATAAGGTCTCGGGGCCCTAAAAGTTATTTTCTCAAGGGCCTCCCCACACTGTCCACATCTGTTTTTGTACAGTGGAAACCAAAACTGAATGTATTACTAACCATTGTAATCAAAAGGGAATGAGGTTTAAAACCAGTGCTTGCTTTCCTCAAATGCAAGCTGTTCAGTGTCCCTCAGGCCTGTCTGTTACCAAAGACTTGTCTTACACCAGAAACCTGCATTTGCCTGTGCAGGCACAAGGCACATGTCCAGCCACAGGTGCACACACAGTGAACAGTGTAGTTCTCTAAACAAAAAAGCATCCTTGAATAATGCAGGGCTGCATAATACTGAAGAAACACAGACTTGCTGTCAGTATTTCTAATGAACTTGGTTCATTAAACCAGACTCTCTCTCCTAAGGTGTTGAAATATGTTATGAGCTGTACAATCCTCGAATCCAGGCCATTGAGGTTCTGAAGCTAGAGAAGAGGTTGGATGACAACCTGATGTACCTGCGAGATGCCCTCCCTGAATACAGTACCTTTGATGTGAATATGAAACCTGTATCTCTTTTAGACCATGAAGAAATTCCTGTAAACAAGGTAAGAGCCATGTGTTTCAAAGGGAAAGTGGAGGGTTGTTTTTTCCTATCTGCCTGCTACCATGGAAGGCCATTAAACAGCTCTCCATTGCATTAGTTACCAGGGTGACAGAAGTGCACAAAATAAGTCAGGGCTTTATGACATTTCTGTAGTGAATGTTGAGAATGTCAATGTCTATCATCCTCAGTAGTTAATTTAGAAGATGTAGTAGCAGCCTCCATGTGCCTCTGTGTGACACTGAAGAGAGGAAAGCTTTTCATTGTTGAATA